GTTACCCCCGCAGCCCACAGCGAGGGGTTCACGAGGGACACCGCCACCGCCACTAGCAAAATAAACACAGCTTCGCATGGCGGCAGTGACAGCAGCACCGTAGTCTCCCACACCACCTCCCTTTTTTGTTTCTTGTTGCGTGTGCAGCAGCTCCTGCTGCGGTGGTGGCCGGGCCTGCATGAAATTGAGTGCGCCGAATGTGGACGAAGGCCGAAGGCAAATGAACTGTTTTTGTGGTGAATATTGGCTGCACTTCCCGTGGACCAACAATCCGCGTGGTGTGCCGGGATCTCCTTTTTTACTGTTACTTTGCTTTTGTGCTGCTGTGTGCGCTGCACCTTCTTGTGTGTGTGCGCACCCTCCGTAAGGGGTGCAGACACGACGGACCGCTCTCGCCGTATGTGCATGCGGTGGAGCCTTGTGTGCCGCTCCTGTTTGCTTCTCCCTCTTCCATCTGTGTGTTGGTGTTGCGGCAGGGCTGTGTGTGTGTGTGCGTGCTGCCGTGGATTGGAGTGTGTGTCGTGCGTGGTGTGCGGAGTACGGTGCATGCCTGGCTGCTGCCCTCTCCTCATGTGGTGTGCCCTCTGTGTGTGTCTGCCGCACCTCTCGTCTCCCCTGTTGCTCTCCATGTTCCTCACTGTGCAGATCAGCTCCACACCACTGAACGACCACACTCACGATGATGACGTGCCGTCTGCTGTGCGCCCTGTTGTTGCTTGCCCTGTGCTGCTGTCCGTCCGTGTGCGCGTCAGGGGATACACCGGAAGTTGATGTTGAATCTTCTTCCCAGACGAACACGACGACCACAACCCCGGCATCAACCCCGACATCTGCACAGAAAGGTAATGTGGGTGTCGTTCCACTGCCTTCACCACCAGATCCATCACAGGGGACCGCCGGTCAGCCAGGGCCGTCAAGTTTGGGGTCAGTTGCAACGCCGGGAAATGGTGGCGAAGAGGGAACAGGATCTACCAGTACGGCAGGACTGGGACCAAAAGTAAATACAAAGCCAAATAAATCACTGACAGAGGTTACGAAAGAGCAACCAAGTCGCAGCGAAACATCCGCAGAAGAAAAAAATAAGGAGTCTGAAGCCCCTGCTCAGACAACCACTACGACCACCACAACAAATGCACCAACTACGACGACCACCACTACAACACAGGCACCAAGTAATACGACTACAGAGGCGCCAGCTGTGTCGACCACCCGCGCACCGTCACGTCTTCGCGAAATCGACGGCAGCCTCAGCAGCTCTGCGTGGGTGTGTGCCCCGCTGCTGCTCGCCGCATCTGCGCTGGCGTACACCGCTCTGGGCTGAAGAGGTGTGTGCGGGCTGCGCGTGCCAGCACCCAACCGCGGGGTTTGTGCGTGTGTGTTGTGGTTCACTGTATAAAATAAGAGGAAATAATGATCTTGTTTTGCTTCACTTGCTTCTGCTGCCGTGCTGTGTGCTCCGCGTTGTGCCCCGCATCCGTCACGTTGAACGCATCGCGGACACACTCATATGCATGCGCACTGGAGCCCTGGGTTTTTTGTTTTTCTTTTTTAATTGTTCTTTAATTATTGTTTTTATTGCTTTTAAACTTGTGTTTGCGGGGCGGTGTGCGAGCTCTGCAATCGTACTGATTCCATCTGTCTCGTGGTGTGTGCGCTGCTGCTGCTGGGGTGCTGTCATTTGTTGCTGTGCGTGGTGTAGCGGCTGTGTTTCCCTTTGTTTTTCTCGTGCTGTCGCAGGTTGGCTCCGCAGCGTTAGGCGACTCCACTGTTTGTGATGATGACTGGCCGTGTGCTCTGCGTCCTGTTGGCTCCTGCAGTGATGCGCAGCTGCTCGTGCGTGTGAGTGAGGGCTGCTGCGACGGGGTGCGTGTGCTGCCCGCGGGTGATGGCGCGGTGGCTGCTGAGCACGCGCGGGGTGTGATGGCTGCGGAAGGTGGACCCGTGGCCGGTGGCTCTGGACGAAAGAGAATGTGAACTCTGAGGACAATAGCAATCAGGAAGACGAGGAGGGTGGGGGAAGGATCGCGGGTGAGGACCCCAATCCCACCTCGGGAGGAGCACTCACTGCACCGACGAGACAGGACCAATCCAGCAGCGACCCACTGCGAAGTGGCACTAGCAATCCGTCCGGCACTGGCAGCGCGTCTGCTGCTCGGATGCGTGCAAGTGGACCGGAGTCTTTGGGCGGAGGGCACGCTGCAGGCACAGCATCCCCATGCTCCGACGCATCTCAGCAGGCAGCGGGTGGAGTGCATGCTGGTGGCGGGAGGACCTCCCAGGGCAGTCAGGCTTCGGAACAAACCGTCACGGGACAGTCACAGGTGCCAGGGACGGCGAAGGAAGCACCGCAGGGCGATGAAGGAGGAGAACCCGGAGCACAACACGAGGCCGACCAAACCACAAAAATGACTGTGGTGACCTTTTGCGCAAAAACAGCGGTGGAAGAGGAGAGCCGCCAGCGGGATCGCAAGATGCACCACGTCTCTGCAGTGGCGGGAATGCCCATTATTATTATTTTTCCCTGCTCTTACCGACATGTCTAGCCACACGATTTCATCAGGGTGACGAGGAGGTGGTCGAGCAGCGACATGAGTTTCCTGCTATGAGGCAGCTGCCATTGAGAGAAGCTTTCGGTGCCAAGGTCCTTCTTAATGCCCAGCCGTTGGCGCACAGCCAGAGCGTCTGTAAATTCCGGAAGCAGATGGTGCAGTGTTTTCTGCGGGCTAATTGTTGCGCTTGTGGAGGCTGGCTGATCCTGCGACAGCAGTGATTGCCTCCTGGCACTGCTGCTGCGGTGCCGAGTAGCGTCTGGGTTTTGTGCGCGGCGATTCCTGTGCTGTGCGGTGCCTTTTTTGTGTGGGGAGGACCGTGTCGCAGCAATCGCGGTGGAGGGCGTTCCGGATGAAGGCACCGACAGTGACCGATGTGGTTCGTGTGTCCCACCAGTGTGGCGTCACAGTGCGGGCATTTCTTCTTCCGATGCTGTGTGGAGGGCCGTCTCTCCACAGGCGGTGCGTCGGCCTCCCTTGTCGTCGGGGGAACAGCTTCCGTCCCGGTGCAGTGGGATCGTCGTTGGAGCGCATGAAAGCGGACTGTTCCGGTGAGATGTTGCGGAAACGGCGTTGGTTCGTGCAGTCTCTCACAGTCCAGTACAGGCGACCCCAGAGCTCGGATTCCCCGCACCCTTCCCGTGCAGTGTGTATCCGTTCCTGTTGGTCGAGGGCTTCCTGAGTGATCAGGTGCTTGCCACCTGGATCTGATGGCCTGGCACCGCCAAGCAGGTAGTGGTGGGTGTCCTGATGCATGGTGCTACGCCACTTGTTGGTGAGCTGGGTGTTAATGCATGACAGCAGGTCCGTGCGCTGTATGGGTGCTATTCCATGTTCCGTGTGTTGCCCGGTTGCCGTGGTCTGCGTCGCATGCTGATCTGCAGGCTCGTTAGTATGTACTCCGCAATGTTCGTAGCAAAACTGCAGCTGCACGGACCAGCCAGCACGCGTCAGCGACAAGAGACGCTGCCAGATCCGATCCTCCGTCCAGTCGGTATGACTGTGCGGGCCCTTGGTGACGGCGACTAGAAGGGAATGACTGTCTGTAACCACAAGCAGGGTTTTTGTCTGTGCTGGATACGAGGGATACTCAGCCTTTCCATGGCCGGGAGCAGTGCACGGGATTCCATCGTGCGGCTGCATGGGCGTGTGCCGCCGTTGGTACTGACATTCTCTATTATCTTCGAGGAACGCGGGGATGAGAGCAGTATGCCAATCCCGGCTGACGTGGGAATGTCAACACCGCTATTCTTCGTAAGTATCCACGGTCCCCAGCGATGACGTTGCACCTTGTCGCGGTGTTGGGCTTTGTTTGCTTATGGGAACTCCGCAGCAGGGCGTTGCTGCGAGCACGACGGAGACCAAGGTGACTTCATTCCCCGAGAAGGTTCCACGCCATGCCCGGTGTGGGGAGGTGGGGCGGTCTGCCTGCAGACTGTCGGTCAGAACTGCACGACCGTTTCGCAGCGGTCACTCCGTTGATATCACCCGTGGCGGTGACGTTCACAAGAACCCTGCCACCGAGGAGGATGGCTTCATCAATATTTGGCAGCTCAACATTGCAGGCCTCTCGTCCGTAAAAAGATTGCATTTGCGGCGCGATTGGAGCAGCGTCCACCTGACACCGTTCTTCTGCAGGAAATAAGTAACCGTGGTGACGTGGCGACGAAATTATGTGGCCATAATGACTGCCTTCGGGCCTCACTGGGCGCGGTGGTGGCGTTGCCGTTCTGGTGCGTCACTCTCTGCCGTGCGAGCGCCTGTCGCTCCCTGACACTGACCTCCTGGAGACTATTGCTGTCCGTGTATTTCCGCCGGGCTGTCCCAGCATTTGCGTGGTGAATCTCTACAACCCTCCCACAGCAATTGGCCAATAATCCGCATTTATCAATATCGTTTGCCGCTTTTGCCCGAAGAGATTATCGCGGGTGACCCGAATTTGCATCGTGAACTCTGGGACAGTCATATACACCATCAACGACTGGAGGCGATGATTTCGCCGCTGTTCTAATCGATATGGATTTTGGCTGGCAAATTACCCGACACAGGCAACACGGATCACACATCGTAATGCCTCGTCCCCTGACGTGACTGCGTATTGCGCCCTACGCATCTCCCACTGGACATTCGCCCCTTACATGGACTCGGACCACTGCTGAATATCTTACTTGGTAGAGATGGACGATGGCACTCCACGACTAGCAAACACGCTGCCTTGACGGAAGAAAGCCACCTTTGCCCTGCGTAAAGCGGGTTGGCCTGCTTTTACATCGTTGTGTGAAACCCTCCTTGCCACCGCGTCCACATGGTTGGATCCTCGCGGAGGCATCTTACGAGCAGCTGAGCGCCACATCCCGCGCGGCAGCCGTGACAGCTCCAAAAAGATATGGACACACGAAATGGAACAGGCCGAGTCCGCCGCCGAGGCAGCACACGAAGCACACACATTGCCTCACCTGGAGACAGCCTACTTTGAGTCGAATGTACCCGAAAAAAGGGAGGAACGAAATCAAGCCTTACGCCGTTGTTCCGCTGTGCCTCTGGAAGCACGCGCGAAAAGACTTGGAGCCTCACCCAGCCCGAGCTGGCGATATCTTCACGGCGTGGCGGCGCCGCACCCTCATCCTCTGGAATCGGTTGTGCTCCGCACTGAACGTGGCCGCGTATGCGCCCTGCCTCGGCAACAGGCAAATCTGCTTGTCCATCATTTTGTGCGGTTTTACGTGCCATACCGCCTTACACTGCTGCTGCTGCTCGCTGCACTCCTTTGGTTCCTGGTGGCTGGGAAATGGATCGGCCTTTCCCGCCGTATGTACTTGACGTGACCATCCGTGACTCTTTTCTTGGCTCAGCCCCTGGCCCCGACGACATGTTGAATGAATTCCTGCACCGTTTCGGGCCCGTCGCGCGTGGCACACTTGGAACGATGATCCACAACCCCTTCGCAAACGGCAGCCTGCCTGGCTCCTGGAAAATGGGAGACGCTATTCCTATCCCCAAGCCTGGGAATGATCCATGCCGCCCAGAGAGTTACAGACCTATCACGCTGCTCTCTGTGTTACTAAAGTTAACCGAAGGAATGATTCACCGCCGTCTGTCGGCGTTATTGCCGCACCACCCACGTCAATTTCGGATTTGCAACTCCGCGTTCTACGTCGGACGTGGTGGCACTTGTTGTCGACAAATTACTCGTGGACTGAATGAGTTTGGCATTGTGGAGCATGAGCGTCCTGGAGACGACGCCCCCACACGACGCCCTCGTCGCCATCGCACGTAGTTTTGATTGATTTTCCGACTGCGTTCGACACCACTGACCATGGGAAGTTATTCTGCATGCTTGACAGACTTCCGTGCCTTGGCCTCGAACCAAACGCTGGCTGCACAACTACCTGCGGGGCCGCTATGTTAGGGTATGCACTCGTGAACAGCACTCCCGGAAACAACTCGCCTCAGCTGGAGCACCGCAAGGCGGCGTCCCGGGACCCCAACTCTTCCTCTACTGTGTGGATGATCTGCTGCGCCGCCTGGGCAGCATCTATTCTGCCTCCGCATTCATGTACGCTGACGAACACACACACTTGTTGCCTCATGTGCGGACATCCATGCCTGTGCTGCGGCAATGCGACCGCTCTTGTCTCTTGTGGCCACATGGGCTCCCGAGCACAGCCTAAAAATCAACGTCGCTAAGAGCGAAGCTGCTCTATGCCACATCTCTTCACACACACACGGTCTGACGAGGACATGGTCGATCTCCATCTTGTTAGCGGGAACC